AAGTTCTTTCAATGTACACATCCTTTTCTTCGTACACGCATTTCTACGGAAAATGTATAAATCTCACAAATTTCATGAGGAAGAATAATGTTATTAAAGGAATCGATAAACTGGACTTTCTTATTCTTTATGATTTGCAGTAGAATTTGAAATGATGTTTTTTTTTTTAATTTTCATTCGATATCTCTAAACTTGTCAGTTAGGTCCGTTCGTCGAGTTACGTATGTATGACATTTTAATGGACACTTCTAGTACTAGATTATGTCATAGACTTTAAGATTTGGTTTGAAGTTTGACTATACATAAAGAAAACCCAGGAATAGATTTCCTCAGCTGTATTTTGGGTCCTCAGTGCTCTTCAACTTCGTACTTTATTTTGCCTATTAACGTTTTAGATTTGAGCGTCACTGATGAGTCTTTTGTAGACGAAAAATTATCGGCCAGGTTTATTTGATGAGCTATTGTTTTTAAATACAAATGGAACATTACATCTTCATCTTTAAAGTGATATGTGCCATTATTTTTGGAGCTTATAAAATTTAGATACGATCCGTGTAAATTTATAGATCCTTTTAAAATTTTTTTTTTTTAACTCATTGCATGCTCCAGAAGTCAAATTGATATTTTTTTTTATGTATTTTTAAATATTTTTTATCTGTTCTCAATGACTGTAGGTCGTTCCCAATATTTAGTATACAGAATAATCGTAAGATTTACATAATACTCTAAAAGTCTTCCATTGTGATGAATATCATTTCCCCTTACAAATTCCAAATTAGCACTGTCAAGTAATATTTGGGTGTCCACAACTGCGATTGGTTAACTGTCTAATCAAAACCAACTCATTGCTAAGAATTTTAGAACATCACTGTAAAAGACTATAAGTTCCATATTTTTTTATTTGAGCACCTATTATTACAAAATTTGTTGAACAAAGGACAACAAATGTTAGAGGCCTTAGTTCAGTCTTATATCGTTAGGGGACGACCATTTGATATTCTATGGAATAAATATTCTAGCCTGGTAAGAACTGAAAAATATACCATTGCCAAGTAAATGACAAAAATTAATATTCTGCTCAACAAAATGTAGGAAAATAATGTGTACAAATGTAAAACAAAATAAGCCGGACTAGCAAAAGGTGAAAAAGAATATTCTGTCCAAAAACAACAATTTCTACCCCTGATATTTCAGATTTTTGTTTCAAATAAAAAAAAAACTCTTTTCAGTTATCATGAGATTGAATAAAATATGCAAGGTACGCATAGTCTTGCTTATTTTTATCTCTAAGCCACATTGATATGTAAAAAAATTAAATATGAACATGAAAAGATGTGGTAGGATGGCTAGAAAGACAACTATTCACAAGAGATCAGTTAATCCACCATTGACCAGTGACGTAGATTTAAGGAACTGTATATTGTTAATGTTCCAAATATTGCAAGGCATTTTGAAATCAAATAACAACATTAATTACTGCACACGGAGTATATATCTCCCAGTTGATACGATATTCCAGGGCTTGTATTTCCTATCATGATTTCCTTGATAGAGGGTTGTTGTTCACAAGGAAGCTATTAAACTAAGTGTTCCAAGTGGTGAAGTTGAAATCATCCTGTCTGTTTGTCTTTTTCTTTTTTAGCCATGACGTTGTCAGTTTATTTTCGACTTATGAGTTTGAATGCCACTTTGGTATCTTTCGCCTCTCTTTTACCACTGATCAAAATATCTTAAAAAATCCTACAAGTAAATACGTTTGAATAAAACGTATACAGTTGTCGGTTTAGCTCCTATCATACAGAAAAACTACTGTAATGACATAGTTACTTGTTTGTAAAGTAAATACGTTTGAATAAAACGTATAAAATTGTCGGTTTAGCTCCTATCATACAGAACAACACTGTTTTGATCTTGAAACACACAAATGATGACATAGTTACTTGTTTTTAAAGTGATTAAGATTATAACTAAATGTTGACTGCTGTACCCCAATTTTTGACATCTTTACCTATTATATCTGTTTGTTTTGCTCATACATTGTTGTTAATAAAATGGAATTATGTGCGACTGTCGTACAAGTGAGAGGTTTAGCTAGCTATAAACCAAGTTTAATCCACTATTTTCTAAATAAGGGAATACCTGTACCAAGTCAGGAATATGACAGTGGTTTTCCATTCGTTTGATGTGTTTGAGCTTTTGATTTTGCCACTTTTTAAGGGACTTTCCGTTTTGAATTTTTCTTTGAGTTCGATATTTTTGTTATTTTACTTACTTTTATGCAGAACCTTTAAAACGATTGTTGTAATTCCATCAAATCGATATTGTAAAATTTCAGCTGTTTGAACAGAATAAGATGCTTGTTTGTGTCTGTGTGAGCAAAACACTTCATTTTGCGACTTTGTTTTAGAATCTTAAAAATACTCTAAAAGAGAGGCGAAGGATACCAAAGGGCCATTCAACCTCATAAGTCAAAAATAAACTGACAACGCCATGGCTGAAAAAAACCCAGACAAACAGACACAAAACAACATAGAAAACCAAAGACTGAGCAACTCGAACCCCACCAAAAACTGGGAGTAATCTCAGGTACTCTGGAAGGGTAAGCAGATCCTGCGCCATATGTGGTACCCGTCGTACTGGTCATGTTATTACAAACCCGGTAATATGTCTAATTCGGTAGGTCACATCCAGTGGGAAGGTACGAGATTGTAGTAACGACAATTGGAAGATATTCGTAGTCATCTGTAAAACAGATATTCCATAATGGTCAACCAACTTGTTATGGCGTCCACAAAATTTACAATGGGATGAATTCAACTTCACCACTTGGAACTCTTGGTTTAATAGCTTCCTTGTGAGCAGCACCCTCTATCAAGGAAATCATGATAGGAAACACAAGCCCTGGAATATCATATCAACTGGGAGATATATATACTCCGTATGCAGACGGTGCTGGAATGTTGCTACTTAGAAATGGAAAGTTCACAATTGGGAAGCTAAAATCATCACTTTTGTCGTAAAGTTTTGTTTTCAACCGACCCTCTTTGTCAATTTCTAGATGTAAGTCAAGATATGAGGCATACTTAACTGTGTCTGTTGTATCCTTTATCTCAAGTTCGATGTTAGTAGAGCCATCGATGTAAGTGAATCAACCAATTCGTGATAGCGAACGTAAATCGTATGTAGTGTCGATTTCAGTCGTTCATCCTCATAAATAAAGGCAACATTAGTATACCGCTGTTCAATAGTCATAATTCGATTAAGCAAAAACAAATCCGGGTAACAAACTAAAACAAAGGGAAACAACTATTCACCATAACTCATATCATGTTTTGTCTAAAGAGCACAACCCTGTTAATGAAGTGTGTATACCGACTGTGTGTTGAAATATAAACGTACCGAACTCAACAAATATATTCCCGATAAAAAGTCCAGTGTTTTGATTATGTCATATTATGTGTGTTTATTGTTTGATTCAGTGTGGTTCGTCACAAAGTAAGATTTAGTAATAACCTTCAACTAGGAATTAGTATCTACGATTCCAATTTTTATAGACCAAACTGTGTTGAATGAGCAAATGTAGCCTATCTTTCAATTGAGTTTGTACAATAGTAGTGTAAATCGTAGAAATATCAAAAGTGTAATATTACAGTAACGTTTTAATGATAATGACTAAGTGTTTAGAATTTTTAAGAATCCACATCTTATTTACACCGCTTGTTTAGTATATCTCACCATAATGATTTTTAATGGCATCTTTTACTATATAAAGAATGTAGGCCGCATTTTAAAATCTGTTTCGTTGCATATTTTACTTATACGTCCTTAGTTCTTTACTAATTTTTGGATAAGGTTGAAATGTTAAATATGTAAAGCACGTGGATTTTTAAATACCTACGAATAAAAGTTTATATCTCATGTTGGTATTATAATGAATACATTGAATTATTAGAACAGGGGATTTTTTTTTTTTAATTTTCATTGATCCGCGTTTATTTTTATACTTGGTGAACTCCGTCTACAAAAATATAATGTAACTATGCATAAGAATAATTAGGAATATGTTTTATGACGCAAGTTTGCTAGCAAAAAAGAGACCAAAAGGGGGAAAACATCAATTTATATGTAGAAGAAATACAGACAACACATTGGAAAAAAACGAAACGAAATAACTCGCAAAGGTTGAGAGCTACTGACATTGTTATGTTACTCATGAAAAATGATAAGTTGCATTTTTTATGTCATCACAGCGAAATGAAGAACTGGATTATGACAACACATTTAAAAAATCTCTGAAATTTTTTTTCTATAACAAAATACCTAGTTTTATTTTTTAACGAAGCAGAAATGAATTAGTCTTTATCAATCTGACTATACATTTTTCTTATGAATTTTTATGTAACGGATATGGAATATACTCTCCTAGTTCCTTTATTTACATCTTAAAAAAGAGCATTTATGGTCATTTAGAAAGTTAATCAAATTTTTTTAAACTTTTTAACAGCACATTTTATCACTTAATTTCCTGAAAACAAATGGTCGTTTTTTTTTACATCTTTTTGGTCACCACAACTTAGTAGTAATGATTTTAGCGTGATTGTTAAATTTGTAAAATCTTATGAATCCTTTCGACGAGTGATACTATTTGTAATTATTCACCTATTATATATTGCTAACTTGCAGTTGTATATTGGGTTGTAAGATAAAGATGGTTATTTCTTTAACGTTTAAATATGATGGTATTACTAATTGATAGACATACAATGGATTTATCTTAATGACAGGAGATAAAAACTAAGTAGACAACTTTGATCAAAGTTATTCAATATTATTAAACTACTTTTGCGACTGCTTGAACCTTACTATAAAAATATATCTATGTTTCAAATGCAGTGGAACAGTATATTACTGATGTTAAACAATTCAAATTTAATTTGATTTATTTATTAAGATCTTAACATTAATGAGTCTATCATTAAACAAACTGTCGTTTTACTTACATGATATATCAATGATGGACTAGGAACAAACTTTTCTTACTTCCTTTGCCGTTTTGAAAATAAAGTTGATGCAATGTGGATTTGAATTCAATATGTAGGTGATTACAGATATCGTTTCACTCAATCTTTATTCCATTTTTAACAATAACCATGATTAGACGAAATCAGTTATTTAACATGCACATATATGTCTGTCGCATTTAACAATATTATTTATATTTATTTTACTTCTACCTATAAAACTTGGCAAATGCTCAATTACTAATGCATGTGTAAAGACGTCAACTACCGCTAGCAGAAATAACAGGAGATAATAGACCTGCTCAAAATTCCTGACGGTAATCTTGCGTTACATAACGTAAACAGTTTTTGACAAAGGTTCGTTTAGAAGAGGATTGAGTGTAAGGGGGCTATATCTATACTCCTAAATAACGAGGTCCAATTTGTTGGCCGGCATGGCGTCAAAACGACGAATCAAAGAATTCAACTTTATATATAACTTTATAGGACAATAGTGTTGATTAAAATTTCACCATTACAGGCCTTTTTATTTTCCACATAATTAATATTACCAATAATTAACAAGGTACGGGTCGATTCAGATACCGATACCGATAGTATATGTCACATGTAGTTTCCGGTTGTAGTAAGAAAACCAGGACGGGTTCAAACAGAAAGATTTTGAAATCAGAGAAAACTGTGCACCTTAAAATCAGCATTATCAAATGACAATACGAATACCAAATATCCGCGCTGAAATAAAGCGTAGGTACTTTAATTCAGTCACGGAACCGCAATGTCGCGGGGGTGTTCTAGTAGATTGTAAATAAACTACATATAAGGATTTTTTAAAAGCAAAATGTTGAAGATGATTATTTAAGAAATACTAAAAAAAATAGTCGTTGCATGTCACTAGTTTACCAAGGTACGTAAGATATATTTGCAAAATATTTTGGATATTTTGCAAATATTATTTACACAGCTTGAACGTCTACAATCCGTTCAACTTTATATCAAAATATATATATATATATCAAATAAAATAAAATATGTTTTGTTCCAATAAAAAGATCGGACCTAACCGATGCGTATTTTTGTTCAAAAGGCGGAAAAACTTCTTCCCCTTTAACTATTATTCGTGCTGCTGTATTTAAGAAATTTAAGTCATTAATTTAGAAAATACAATAAACAATTTTTATGTGACAAGTGAAGGTCGTATATCAAATGTCTACTTTTAATTTTGTACTAGAAAAAGATCTAAAGATACGATTTTGATAGCGAGTTCTAAAGCTTGTGAAGGTATTTATAATTTGGTGTCATAAATAAAGGCAGCAGTGGTATACCGCTGTTCAATAGTCATAAATCGATTTAACTGAAACAAATCCGGTCACAAACCAAAACCGAGGGAAACACATCAACTATAAGGGGAAAACAACGGAACAACATAAACAATGAACTACTACAAAAACAAACGCCAACATACATAGAAACGGACTATTTGATAACAACTGCCATATTCCTGACTTGGTACAGGACATTTTTAGAAAAATGGTGGGTTGAACCTGGTTTTATAGCTAGCTAAACCTCTCACTTGTATGACAGTGGCATAGAATTCCATTATATTGACAACAATGTGTGAGCAAAACAAACAGACATTATAGATTTACCCAATAAAGTTATTGTTGTGTAAAGGGATACTGAAGTCAGCAATATTTAAATATGTTCTTTCAAACCGTACAAGATAAGAAATAAATACTAGTTTACCACAGGGTGAGAGTAGAAGAACATCGCCATTTTAAAGAGGAAAGTAAGTGTGTGAATTCAATCGAATAAGTTTAATAGTTGCCTCTTTGTTTGATATCCGGTTAATGTCAACGATAACATTATCATTAAGTTTTCAAATAGGCCAATAACAAAATATGCTGTGTCATTTCAAATTTAATACTAAACGAATGTTTCACTAAATTCCGAATTCGAGATTCATTTTCGATGCAGAAAAAAATATTTTTATTTTCAACTAAGAAGGCAGTGTATATTAAAAGGAAGTGACACTGTTATGTTTTAAAACGACGAACAATATTATTAAATCAAAGTAAAAATAGTACACAATGAAATAAAATAATGTATTACGTTGAACTGTGCTAACTTATTTATAAGGTTTAAATGTGTGTGTACATATTCTGTATGAATGGAAAATAGACTTCTAAAATGTTAAGATATCATATTGTCTCATAAATGTACTAGTATTTTAAATGATTTCCCACAAACATGGTATATCAGTAAAGAACATTACATGCGGTTTATTTCATTTCATATGACTTGATTTCATCTATTTTCGTTTTTAACTTGTCATTCCCATTTAAAGGTTGAAACCACCATAATCCGATTGAACACCCGTACTACAAGGACAAATAAAAAAATATCCTATAATGACACTCGTCGTGTAATTTATATCAAGTAAAAATAACATTTATTGATAGTCATGAATATAGCCAATATGACAGATGAGCTCCGACAAATGGACCACTTCTGTTATCATTCTCCGTAGTGTTCAACACAATCATGATGTAGTCAGTGAAACTTTCGGAGAGATTAATTCAAAACTGAAAATACTCGGTTAAATATCTTCATGGAAAGCAGTTATATTCTATCAAGGGTACCCAGATAGCATTCACAAGCCCTTGACAACTTGGGATTTTGTTCTCAAGATACCTTCTAAATGCAAGTGGTTCTGGAATACAATACACATAAACTTGAAAATTTCATAATGAGAAAATTGAAGTCATTTCTTTATGTCTCATATAAATAAAGAAACCAGACGGCGATGAGATAAACACAGTAAATTCTAAAGGCTTTAAGACTTTCTATTGAAAAAACATAAAACCGAAGCTATACCACTATAATGATTTACAATTCATGAATGTATGTCATAATTTTAGGCATATTTCTCGTGTCTCGGTTTGGGCAATGTGTCAGTCAAGAGTATTTCTCTGTTAGTTTTAAATTGAAATAATTAAAGTGAGCCCTATCATACCGTATTAAATGTAAGATTTAAATGCAATGAGTTTGGGCTGATGGTATGTTACAAAAATTGGAAGTCGACAATAGGAAAGCTGAAATTATCGCAGATTGTTGTTCCTGGTAAAACAAATAACCACACTGATAACCGTAAAAATATCACTGAACAAGACAATATAAAAATGATGGGAAAGGTTCCATACAAAAGATTGATATTTCCTATTTGATGAACTAACTTCTATAGTAAAATTTAAATGGTTTTCATAAAAAGGCTAATATAATTAACTTATAATGAAATCATTCATTTTAGAAGTAAATAACAACAGGGGTTTCAAGACAGTAATCAAATTACACTATTAACCTCGTATATCATAAAAAGTCATGGATATGAATTTTAGATTTAGAGTCAAAATCCGAAATACTTTTTCCACCATTTTACTAAAGACATAAAACATTTATATCTTTTTTTTCATTCTCGTAGATTTTTTTTAAAAGAAATCTTTAAAATTAAATAGTCTTTGAATAACCACTTATTGTCTTCATTGATTATTCATAATTGTAAAAAGTCTTTTGACATTGTTTTAGCTGTTTAGGTGTAAATATAACAAGTCTTCATCATTAAACGAAACCACTATATCTATCTTTAAAACAAACCCGATTTATTCAGTTATTCTAAATCCCAATAAAGTCATAAATGTCAAACAAGTAAAATCAGTAAATCTTAGAATTAATAACATGTAGCAAGTTCATAAAAAACAGTATGGTATTAGCTAATCTGCATACAATATATCAATAGTATCCGGACAATCCTGGATTGATGATAGCACCTGTACCCTGCCAAGTCATAATGTCACCATTGTACATGTTGAAAGGTGTTAGAGGTGAAACGGTGAATTTTAATTATTTGAATCACTCTCCATGTTTCTATCAAAAGAATGATGGATAATCCGATATTAACCGTCACATTTGTTGCCTTATTAACAATTGGTTATATCTGCTATGGAGCCTTTCTGCCGCAGAAAATAAGTCAAGATAAGAAGATGTGTCATGTGTATAATACGGAAAAAAAGAATCACAAGAATCGCAAAATATATTGGATAATACGTTACGGAACAAACCAACCCCAACTCCTCTAAAAAACATATATTAAAAAATGACATCATAATTGTTTTGACTATCCCCCCAAAAATATAAAGTTTACAATTTTTCTTAAATTTGGCTGTAGCTTTAGGTACCTCAAATTGATTAGACATCAATTATTCATTTTTTCGCATGGGTGTATAAGTTTTTTTTTCCTTGGACTATTTTTTTTTCACGACTTTATTCAAAACTAAACTATCGGTGTGTTTTTTTTTTGGGGAAAATGCAATGTCATATTTTCCCTCTTCTGAAACAATTCTTTTGTTTTGAGGACTTTAATATCAAACAATTAATGAAAGAAATATTCCTCCCCCTCTTCCCCCCAATAAAAAACAAAACATAAACAAACAAACACACACACACACACATATATATATATATATACGTTATTGGACGGTGCCTACATTGACAAATTTCTTAACTTCGACATCATTAAAACGTTTGTAATCAAACTGATAATGCAGAAACTTAAATTTCCCGAAACTGGTGAACACAAGTACCATTTCAAAAGCAAACCTGGTCCTAGATTTTATCCGTACTCAGAGAAAGGCAATTTGTCTCGTATTCATTCAAATAATTTACGACAAAAGGGACGTAAATCATAAAGTAAGGATCATGTTTAAATTGGAATTCCTCCTGGAATTTGAGCACTAGCAGTGCCGTTCGTGTACTTTATTAAACTAAAAGGGCTTTCAAATAGATGTGTAAAGTTCAAATTACAATCCATATAGAAAGCAAATCACTGACTACCTTCAACAACATAGTCTAACATCCAAAGATTTGACTGATATTTTTAGGTTCTTGTTTATCATAATTTTATCAACTGTTTCGGTTGTTAAACATTCTTGACTTTCAATATTCGGCTTTGAGCGTCCATGGTGAAGGTAAATCCAGAAAAGCGCTTTGGACGCAAGAAATTTCAAAAGTAGAGTTTTAATTTTTTTCCAGAACTGATAGAACATCTGGAAAACAAAACAGTACTAGAGCTATCACACAATCAACAGTAAAGGCTCTTATACTCACTTGTACCTATACTGTTCAATCACACATAAAAAGTATAACCAAA